AGCTGCCCTCAACTCTTATGAAGACATGGACCTTGATACATTGTCTCTTTTAAGAGAGTTATAGTTAAAAAAGAGAGTTACAGACAAAAAAAAAAAGATTCATTACAGAGTAGCAGAGGTGTGAATGTCCAAACTGAATCTGCCATCAACTAATAATCATTTCTGTTGTATCACAAGGCAAATCATCACCTTGTAAATGGTTGCTCAGAGGTACAACAATATGGTAAGTCACAGAAACATCCTAAACAGCAGCAATACACAATGCTGAAAACATTACCTACCTGAGACATTTGGTTTTTCTTTCACTGGTGAGTAACATGAAAATATCCATTGTCCAGAAGATTCCCATATTTCCATGTCTTTCACTACACATTCACTAACAATACAAAATCACAGATGAAATAGTGAAAAATCAAATGAAATTGCATGGTCAAATCAAAAATGCCAGTAACAACCAATTCAAACAATTGGTTTGAATCCACATTCAGAGTCAAAAATCTGCTATCATAAAAACCAAGTGTTTTCTTAATGTAATCTTAAAAAGAGTAATATAAAATGTCTCTAAAACCTTGCTTCTTTAGGAAATCACACTGCTGCTTCTCAGTACCTGCCCTGCAGGTGCTGGTTACTTGTAACTGTAACATACACTTCTGTGAAACCAATAGTTTTGCTGTTGGCAGAAAGATTCGTTGTCTTAAGTGACAAAACAAGTAAAATAATTCATTTTCTTAAAGGGGCTCTTATTATTGAGGGATTTCTTATTATTAAGCACTGAAATCTGTTTCCTTCCTTATCCTCCTGATCACAACTTTAATACCATACCATCTTACTAATATCACAGTTGCCTATCTGTCCAGCCCAGGTCCCAAACAAGGATCACTTCCTCCCCATGCCAGCATCATTCCAGAGAACCAAATGAAGTGATGTTCTCTGTTTCTTCCCATGTCCCAGCTTTCTCCTCACAATTCTGTCCTCTGCATTATCTCTAGGAAGCCAGTAAGCTTTCAACCAAGGCAGTTACTTTCAACCAGTAAGCATTCTAAATGCTTCCAGTAAGACAAGACTGTAACTTACAGAAGTCTCTCCTCTTCATCTTTAGAGCCACCAGCAACACTTTGACTGTTGACTAAGGCAGAGAACCTGTTCTGTGAAAAATCTGCATTTCTGCTGCTGCCGCCTGACGATCCAAAGTCAGAGGAACCAAAGAATCCTCTTCCGTGATCTCTGCTGCCACCCCACGCATCCGACTTGAACGAAGATGGCTGGATAACATTACTGTATCTCTGGTTAGAGGTACCCCATCCTCCTCCTCCTCTTCCACTAGTAACTTCCAATTAAAACAAACAAACAAAAAAGCTAACATTTTAACATTTTAATCATTAAGATATGAATCAACATCAACAAAAACTGTAAATATAACTAGTCTTACAGTGACAATAAAAAGTTTGAAATTAAAGTGTAGTTTTTTCCTAATAAGTTAACCTCATTATTAAGTCAGCTTAACTACTGAGTTACCTAGGGTAGTTCTCAAGTCCTACTTCTCAAATGGAACAGTTTGGGTTGGAAGGCACCGTTAAAAGTCATCTAGTTCAATCTCCCCCGTGCTTTAATGAGCAGAGATGCCTTCAGCTACATCACTGTGCCAACAACTTGTGGCACTGCAGAAAGACATTGACTCAGTTTTGCTTAGGTTGTTTGATAAAGTAGCTACCCCAGCAGAAAAAAATTTAATTGAACACACGATAAGTTTATGTTAGGGACTCCTGCCTCCATAGCTACAGCAGGGGCTCTGCTCCAGCACAGGGAGCTCCCGAGTTTCATTCTGAGACCTCGGACACACCTGTGCGTGTTGTTACAGGCAAACCCCGACCCTCCTTCCAGCAGGAATAAGGACAAGTGGCTGCAGTGAGTTCCTGCCGTGCCATCACTGCAGCCCCCAGCTCTCTGTCATCTGTCACGCCCCTTTCCTTCCCAAAGCCCCCACACACCCAGAGCAGCAGATGAGAATGGAAACAGCCTTCACTGGGTACAACATACAGCTGCTGGAAACTTGCTCACTGCTCATAAGAACAGAGTTTTCCAAGCTGTTTCCCCACTGCCTTGCGGCACATCCCGCAGTCACAAATCACAAGATCAGTTAAGTTGGAAAAGAGCTCTGAGACCATCGAGTTAAACCTATGACCAAACAGCACCTTGTCAGCTAGACCAAGGCACAAGTGCCACATCCAGTCTTTCCTCAACCACCTCCAGGGACAGTAACTCCACCACCTCCCCGGGCAGTCCATTCCAATGTTTCGTGACTCTTTCTGTGAATGCCCAACCCAAACCTCCCGTGGTGCAGCTTAAGGTTGTGACTCCTGGTTGTCTGGCAGAAGAGACCGACCTCCCCCCGGCTACAGCCCGCTTTCCGACACTTGCAGAGAGCGATAAGCCGCCCCCAAGTCTCCTGCAGGCTAAACACCCCCAGCCCCCTCAGCCGCCCCTCCCAGGCCTGGTCAGAGCTCAGCCGAAGCAGAGGCAGCTGCCGAGCCCGCCCTCCCGCCCTCCCGGCCGGTACCGTGCGGCGGGGCCGTCCCGCGGGGGTGCTGGTTCCAGCAGCGCTCCCCGAAGCGGCAGCAGCCCCTCAGGAAGAACTGGCAGACGCCCATGGCCGCCCCGCCGGCCGGCGCGCGCCGCTGACGCGCCCGCCGTGACGCGCGGCGGGGCCGGGCCGGGCCGGGCTCGGCCCGCACCGGGAGGCGGGGATAGCCCGGCACGTACGGCCGAGGGATAGCGCAGGAACGAGTGCCGAGAAAGCCAAATTCGGGTTGGATTCGTGCTGTGCAAAGAAGCAGAAGCTCTTCTCCCCGCAGCCTGCGCGGTAAAGCGTTTCTGTGCTGCGTCTTTACGGGGGGACTAAGGGATGTATAGCCCGTGGCTACAGAATCATCAGGGTCGGAAGAGACCTTTAGGATCATCCAGCCCAACCACCAATCTATCCCTGTCACTGTAATCCACTAAACCACATCACCCAGCAGATCCAGGTGCCTCTTACTACCCCCAGGGATGGTGATGTTTGCAAAAATTGCATTCATTACCCAAGGATATACCAATAATTACACTTTTGAAAGACTCTCTATTTCAGAGTTGCACAAGCCCAGCGCTAGATGGCATTCCACAAATCAAGCACACTGGCTATCAAAACTTTTTGCTATTTATACATTTTAGCAAACAAAGGAATTAGCATTCCTTGGCTACAAGTTACATAGCTCTCTTACTAATTCATATTCTAGCTTCTATTATTTAATTATTCTCTCAGTTCTCATGCCAATTTGTCCACATTCTCAGTCTTTCTCTCCTTGTGGGCCCATGGGTTTCTTGGGTTGGTGGTCCACGAACTGGTGGTTGCAGATCCCCCTGCTGGAATTATCTTTTACCCAGTCAGAGCTGGTGTCAGCACAGTTGCTGAGTTGTTTTTATTATTTTCTTCCTTATCTTGGGGGTTCTGACAAATATTCTTGTGGCGTGTAAATTCCGCATTCTTGGTGTCCACAATCAGTGATACATCCTTCTTCCCAAGCTTTGTTAACCTCACCCAGGTCTGAGATCAGTAAAGCATGTCCAGCCCTGAACCCTAACAAGGCAATTCTACCTACAAGTAGTTTGTTTTTCTACCATATGAGCATCATTTAGAGCATGCCAGCTGCTATCTGTTTCAGGGATTATATCTCCCTTCTTGTTGATTAGGCTGGAAAATATATAAAGATCAAACATTAAACAACATCCTTTCTTAGGAAAATTGTACCACATATTGCAACAGTGATTCCACCACCTCCCTGGGCAACCTATTCCAATGCCTGACCACCCTAACAGTGAATAACTTTTTTCCAATATCTAATCTGAATCGCCCCTGTCTCAGGTGAAGGCCATTTTCTCTAGTCCTCTCACTGTAGGTACAGTATAGCTTGGAGATGTTGAGCTGTTGCTGTTTAAAGTGTATAAAAATGGCTGGCTGGCACACAGAGGCGGTGTTACATTTAGGGATTCCCTACCCAGCACCCACGTGAACAGCCATGTAACAAAGATCTCTATGCACCAGGCACAGCATCACCAGCCAGGCAAGTGAGGGATTGTCCTGCTTGGCTCTGTACTGGAGCAGGTTCATCTCAAGGCCTGGGGGCACCTCAGTATAAGAAGGATATAAAGCTGGTAGAGAGCATCCAAAGGAGGGCAACAAAGATCAAGAAGGGCCTTGAGGGGAAGCTGTATTAGGAGCAGATGAGGGCACTTAATCTGTTCAGCCTAGAGAAGATGAGACTGAGTTGCAATCTACAACTTCTCAGGAAGTAGATGGAAAGGCACTGATTTCTTCTCATCACTGACCAGTGACAGGATCTGAGGGAATGGCCTGAAGTTCCGTAAGAGGAGGTTTAGGTTGGGTATTAGAAAAAGATTCTGCACCCAGAGCCTGGTTGGATGCTGGAGAAAGCACCTCAGGGAAATCATCACAGCACCAACCTGACAGAGCTCAGGCACATGATGTGCTTCTTGGGGATGGTCTTGTGCAAGGCCAGGAGTTGGACTTCAATGATCCTTGTGGGTCCCTTCCTAGTCAGGATATTCTATAAATTCTACTCTGTGTGCAAATCTGCTTCTTGCACCCAGTAGAATCCATATTTGGGAGTTCTGGGTATGCAGGCAGGATGGCCAAAAGCCTTGACTAGACCATCTTGCTTCCACTGGCAACAGAGAATTGGATGAGACAAGTCTGCAGCATGTACTGACCAACTGATGGCAGACTCCATCAAATCCTCTCCGGGATCAAGGTGGTGAGCAACTCAAAGGTGCAATGCCACAGAGAGACTCAAGTAAGTCCAAAAAGGGGAATAGGATTCTTGGATTGGTAGGTGCACTAGTGTTCCTCTTTCAAATGGTGTATGTTTATCAGTGTAACCAATCAGGTGGACTGGAGTCATGTAACTACTGAAGGTCTGGACCTAAGGGTAAAAGAATTGCACAACTTGAAGTCCATTAAATTTAATGACAAGAGCCCGCCAATCCACAATTCCTCCTCACAGCTGTCTGGGATGCATCCCCAAAAACCAGAATGTGTTTAGAGGAGATCCAGTGACTAAAAATAAAGAAGAGATATCGTCATCACTGGTGGCCACTTTTAAATTGGAGTATAGGGTAAATGTGTCATTGCAGTCTAATATTCTTTTACAGTGGATGTTGGAAAAGGGGATGAGGTTTTATGAGCAAATGTTAGTTCCCTTCTTTCCACACCCATATAAGAGCAGAGTGGAGATGGACAAAGAGGATACAACTCAAAATATAGAGCACAGAGAAGCAGTGGGGGCAGAGCATCAGCCATTTTTTTCTGGACACACTCCTTGTACTACTTTTGATTTTTTGAATTGGAAATTATCTGTTGGTTCATAATGAGAGAATCCTGAAGGAATCAGCTTTTGGAAACTATCATGCTGACTCATAACCCCAGTTGGTGGGATATGCAGACTATATTGAACTCCTTTTTAATGTGAATGAAAAGAGAATGGCATTAGAGAAGGCAAAAGGATAGGCAGGAGTTGTGGGGTCTGAAATGGCCCCTCCTTTTGACCTGAATCCATGTGCCATTTCTGGACAGGAAGGGTCAACTTAAAGATGAAATCATTCAGATGCTGGAGGATTTTGATAATGACTGAAGGAGACTGGAGAAAATTAGGGAGGCATTCCTCACAGATCATCTAGTTTCAGTAAAGCTGGGGAATAAAACAACTGATTTTTGATAGACAGCAAAGGCACACATTCAGTAATAACTATCAGTAAGGGCACACCAATAAATTTACAATACCAATTGTTGGGGCAATGGGGAAAAAAGCTTTCATGGCCAGTCCTACACCCCACAGAGTGTACATTTTGAGATAATTCATTGATACAAGAGTAGGTTCTAAATACCTGACTGAAACATTCTTTCTTTTGACACCATATTTTTCATACAGTCTTTGTACAGAATTTCACAGGACAGCATATAGAAAGAAATGTTTCATTTTAGTTTCAACAGTTTATCTGTCAGATGTAAGAAGTCCATCCCAAAGAAATGTTCAAAAGTTTATACTTGTACATTTATTTCTGCAAAGAGAATTGAGAGAGGTAATATAAATTAACATTTCAGAATAAACTTAAAAGGTTGAAAGCATTTAGAAGTCCTAATGGTGGTGGCTTAAGAGGAATCTTTCCAATTGTGAACTCCTTTGCTTCAAACTGTTGCCACTCTTCAGCTGACAGCTCGCTTTTGGGTGTGAATAACTTCTCTGAGGCAGGGCTGGAGTTGGTGGCTGCAGCAGACGCTGAGGTGACAGGATGTCCGGAGGCACCGGCGCCCTGCCCAGACAAAGCACTGCTCGAAGGCAAGGCAGAAGCGGTGATGGTGGCACCAAAGGCCCCAAAGGCTGCTGGAGTGGTGCTTGCAGAGTTCCCAGCAGAAGCACTGCCAAAGCCCAAAAAGCCAGAAGTCCCAAAGCCACCAGCCGTGGCAGCTGCTTTAAAGGAGAAGGAGGCTGCAGATGGAGCGGCCGGTCTGCCAAAGCCAACGGATTGCGGTGCACTAGGAGAGGATGTTGTCCCAAATGCAGGAGGATTTGCAGCAGCAGCAGACCTCCCATCAGCAGCAAGGCTGCTCCCACATGATGTTGAACTGGTGAGGCTGGAACTGGTTTTAAAGGAGAAACTGCTGGCACTGGCGCTGCTGCTGCTCACAGGAAAGCCTACGAGTAGGGAATTTACAAAAAATATTAGAATTGTTAGTTCAAGGATACTAAACAAAAGCTGCATTTCAAGGATGCAGCAGCAAACTACAGAAAATGTGTAAATGGTTTGGCTCCTAGAATGGGAACTTACTTGACAGCCCAAAGCCTGAGGTTGGCTGTCCTCCCATTCCAAAGGCAGGTGCTGCCTGAGTGCCCATGGTCTTGAAAGCAGAGAGCTGAAAAAATTTCAGAGACATACATGAAAAGTAGATTCCAAAACAGGGAACTCTCTCTCAGTAATGCTTTGAAACTAAGTCAGAGCTGCCCAGTCCTACTGAATCCAGCTCAGACCATGCTGGACAGTGATCACTCCTCACAACTGCTTGTTCTTGCAGTGCTTTAAGTGCTCCAAGGCCATACCTGCTCTTCTCTGCAAAACCCTCCAGAAACGCAAATCTTTTACAACTGATCCATTTTTGCCTGTCAGTCAGTGACCTGATCCCCTCTGGGAGCTCTCATTCTCACCTCTTACCTCAATTCCAGGCTGTGCTCTGTGACTGTATTTAGGGCACAGCTTTGACTCTCTCTGCTCCTGTCCTCAGCACATCTGTGTCTGTTACTGTCTCCTGTGGTAAAGCCCAAATCCTGCTTGTCCACCTCTGCCTCTGAACACACCGAGGGCTTGGATCACATTACTCAACCTTCCCTGCACTCCATGCAGACTGCACTCAAAGGGAGCCATTTCCTCTGCCTCCCTCATTTTTGAACTCAAGCATTTACTTCTGAAAAACCATCTCCATTCACAAGTGTTCGTCACCTTCCCAGGACCAATGACTCCTTCTATCTTCAAATGTTATCCAAAGGGATTCTCTCCCATCCACCTCTCAATTCTGACACTGGCCACATGCTCCATCTATCCTAAGGTGTTCTGGAGGGGAATTCTGGTCCAGTCTGCTGATCCTCTCTTGGAAGAGTCAACATCAGCACATGGGAAAAAAGGTGTGGTGGGGATTGGCCTCTTCCTGGTCATGTACACAACCAGATCCCAAACTTCAGCTCTGGTTGTTTTCATGTGGCTTGCAATGAGAGTATTCCAAAGCTGGGATGCAGCTGCTGCCTTGCTAACAGGGAACCATCCCTATGCATGTTTATCCTCAGTTAACTGGAGGGGTTTGTAATAGCACCTGGAATTCACTGATTTCAGGAGTCCATAGAATATGCCCAGGTGGCACATCACAATTGCCACATCTCAGAAGTCTTTGTAACCATAATTAATATCTGTGTAAATTACTTCATTAAAAAATAACATCAGGCACAGAGACATGTTGCCATTTATGAATACTTACCAAAGATGCTTTTGTTGATGCATTTAAAGGTTTCCACTGAATCAGCCAGTTTTCCCACTGTTGTGCTAACAGTTCAACAGCATCTATCTGAAAAGAGAGAGAAAAAAAGCATATTTTTATTATTGTGGAAGAATTAAAAAAAATTAAAAAAGAAAATTTGTCTGTCAACTGAACCAAAGAAAAATATTTAGAATTAGAGAAGAAACTTCACTAATCCAACAGAGGAATTTTGCTTTCCTTCCACTTCGAGGTGAAAAGATTAATTTCTTGGTATTAATACAAGATTCCTTTAAATATTCTTACTGTTGCCCTTATATCAAATTTTTATGTCTTTACATAAAGAGCAATATCAGATCTGATATCATCTCAGGCAAAAGGATGATGGTAGGGTAGACCATATGGACCTGCTGCTATTTTGGCATTCTCTTTGGCGCACAGGAATTGAAAAATATTTTGGCATTCTGATAATCTCCTAGAGTTGCCACCTGAAAATTGGTAACAAGTCTTACCCCAAAGATTGTCCCCATGAGTCATCATTTTTAACCTGCTTACACGTTTCCCAGTTATATTTGCTGTCATAGTACTCCAGGTGCAGTTCTTCTGAAAGAAGACATCTGAAAAGCCTGCAAGGACAGGAAAAATCAAAAACTTCCAAGAAAACCGATTAATACTTCTAACCACCCTTCATAATTAAAAAGCCATGGGCCTTGATACATTGTCTTGTCCTGAAACAGCTACACTCGGAGACACGAAGGATTCATTAAAGAACTCCAGAGGTGCAAATGCCCCAGATGTATTGGGAAACGCCGGCTCTTTGAGCAGGAATAGACAGGCAACCGCAGCCTTCGGCTCTCCATTTAGTCCCTCGCCTTCCAGAGCTGCTGAAGGCGCTGAGAACGGAAACAAGGCGCGGCTGCTGCACGCTGCTCCGGGCAGCTCAGGTGCCCGAACTGGTGTCCCACGGCCCCATGGCCCATCCCGCAGCCCTTTAGGCAGAGCACAACCCGGCAGTGCAGAACCAGAGGCTGCCGCAGACAGCCCCAGCCGAGACCCGCCCGGCCCGCTCTGCTGCGGAGCTCCCGCCGGCAGCGGCCGGGGCGGGCAGCGGGGCAGGGCCGGAGCCGCCCGCAGCCCCCGCGCCCCGCTCGGGCACGGTGGGCCGGGGGTGCGGTGCCCGGAGCGGGGATGCCCCTCCCGGCGCCGGGCCCGAGGCGGCCGCAGCCCCGCAGAGCCGAAGGACGAGCGCGTCCGCCCCGCGCTGCCGCCGCCCGGGCGTGCCGGGGCTATCCACCCCCGGGGACAGCGGGGGCTGAGAGTATAAAAGCGGATGTAAAACAGATAAAAGAGCCTGTCCAGTCTGAAAGGCACACAGTTTCCTCCACAATTCCAGTTGCTCGGAATCAAGGAGTGGAGACACCAGGGACACGTTTCGTGGCCAGAAGTGAAAAGGCAAGGGAAAACAAAGTCACACGCCCTTCACTTACTGCTGAATAAAGAAGGGAGTTGCAGGAACCACAATGGAGGCCGTGAGTGCATCTAGTCCTGTCCGTACAGGCAGAGTTGTCAGGATGAGGAAGGAAATGAGGAGCAAGTCTACAAAGAATCACTGGCTTTGAAAAACCAGGATTTACTTAGGAGAAGCTGAAGGGACTTCGGAACTAAAACAGACTAAACATCCACAGCACAAGCGAGGTAGAGGTAGCCAAGCACCAACTTTTGAAGTTAACTCACTAAGTCCCATAGAAACAGACCTGGAAAAATCAGCAAGTTAGAAGATAGGTGGTGAAACTACGATGCAGCTATGAATAAACTAGCACAGGAGCAGGACAGATGTCATTTGTACAGTTTTCCAGAACCAGGAAGAGGCACACAATGTCGATGACACCCAGAGCTTGAGAGGCTGGACTGTAAGGCTGTGTGAAGAAATTTACCATCATGTGGGCTGGAAGCATTTACAGAACTCTGTGCTTCTAAACCAGAGATGAATAACCATGCGCAACTTCTGAAGACTTCTGTAAAGTATCTTTAATTACTTGGTTCATGCCATTTTAAAAACAGTCATTTTCAAGAAGAAAATCAATATATCTGTTGTATTGACTTTGTTTTTCTCATTCCTGTTCCCATGTTTGTTAATGGTTTGGCATCTACAGTATGTACAATCTGATGCCTGGGAAGATAGACTGAAATTTCTTTCCAAGTTTCCAACTTGCTAATTATAGTGCACAATTGTCGTCGACTTGCCCCACCATTCCCTACCTCAGTGTAATTAAAAAAAATAAAATCAAAAAGTCTTTCTGTGAAGGCTTCACAAAATGCCAAAGAGATCATCAAAGTGTTTCTCTAATTTTTATGTATGGCCTCTCTAACCTTAAAAAACTGATAAGCAGTCATGCAAATGATGGAAGAAACTCACTGGAAGAGGGCAGCTATCATGACCTAGGGAGCTGTTGAAACATTGGGAATCTTTATTAGACAGCAGTCCTTGGTCTTTCCTGAGAAAATATTTTCATTTCATCCCAGTAAGATTTCTGCAGGTCATGCAGGTAGGTATGAAGGAGAAAAAATTGCTCGTCTTTCTTATGACCCAAGCTGTATATACTCACCTTCATTAAAGGAAACATCTCTGCAACTGATCTTGGTAAAATGTCATTTAACCAGAATTTTTTCTTTATCAAATGCTTGAGATGCAGTCTAAATATCTGGATTAGGTCTCTGACAAGGCCACACTCACAGTCCTTTTAAAAGAAGATGCCACGTGGTATCACCTAGGTAAGTGGATTCTCAAAATGCATCCCCATCTCTTTAAAACAGACAAGAAAATGGGCATGACAAAATCCACATTTTACAATATGCTGTATATACAAATATATATTGAAAGACTGTATCTCATTCTTTTTCCTGTTACTAAATTTAATATGATTCAGTAAAACATGGAAGCAAAGCACCAATAACCATCTTTTCCCAAGTCCTTGAAGAATGCCTCAGCATCTCCTACAGTCTTCAGATATCTAGAGTTTCTTCATTTGCCCCACAAGTGTCTACAACACAGATTAAACAACTTGTCACTGGGAAAGCACGGACTTTGGAGTTGGCTATCCACTTGTCTGTTTCAGTGTTATATTCAAGAATGTGCCCCAAGCGACCAACACCCTGAAAACCAGCCAGGACATAAACTATAGATCCCACAGCAGCACACTTCACTGTTACACCTTTCCATGGCATTGGAGACACCATCTTCCATTCATTCATCTTGATATCATAATATTCTACATTATCAAGGCCACCTGCAAAGCAATGAGATAGATAACTGCTTATTATGTTGCACTTTATGGACTGCACTAGAGCATGCAAACTGAAGTCTTTATTTTCAAGGTTTCAAAAACCCTCCACTTAAAAGCAAATCTGAAAATACACCCAATTTCTAAACTAGCAGCTTATCCTTGTATAAATACAAAACCAGAGAACAGTGAAAAGGAGATAGAAATTAAGATGTACTATCACAAATTCACACTAGATGCTTTCTACAGGTTCCAACATGTTACTTCATGAAAAGAAGAACTTTCAGTGCTGAATTTCGGATGGATTTGGGGCTAGTGACTAAAACTCATGAATCACCTGAAACTTCCCTATAGCAACGGCATTTCATTCTAGCGGGCTCATGGGTACTTTTACCAAAACTGGCAATTTACTGATAGAGGAGGTCTCTCGTCATGATGATACTAAAATCTTTGAAGTGTAAAAGCTTAAGTCTCATTGAAAAGGGCCAAAGGAACCAGAAGTTATTAGAGAAGAGTAGATTTTGTGACTAAGATTTACTTATTCAGAAAATATGCCAGTAATTACACTTGACAATAGCTACAAACATGCTGCTGTCCCTATTTAACTCAGTTTTCATTTCCAGGACTGAATTATTAGATCTGAGAGATTAAGAAATCTCTCTATCCTATTCATAGATATGAGTTTTCCAACCCAGACATAACTCATCCTCATTTTATTACAGTAAGAACAATTTTAACACTTCTAAGAGGAGCATTCAGTGAATATACTTATATTTTGCAAGATGGCAGATCACGGATTGATGAAGTGTTTGTGCAATAAATGTATCTATTATTTTTGCATTAGGAATCAATCACAATGGAATAGTTTCAGTAGCCAATTAAAAATCAAGCTATATTCTAAAATAGCATTCATCTGAAATGAAGAATTCCACTTACCGTAAATAGTGATTTAAAAAAACTCATAAATGAGAATTTTCCATTTTGAAAAGCATTTCAGAAACCCTGTGCAATTATAATTCAATTCTTCTCATAAAGTATTATTCCACTAGTTTTAAGGACAAGGAGACAGGCAGATCATAATTGACCTGGCCCGTATAGTAAATATTTCAAAGTTAGAGCAGTCAAAAGAGGTCTCACATTTTCACCATTTTACAGTACCGGACTAGATTTAAGTCTTTAGACTAAAGTTCCTAAAATAGTGGCTACACCTTTATCTGTCTCTCAAAAGGATGCTAAAATCTCTGAAAACATATGAGTAATTTAAGAAAAAGCCCCCTCCCCCAAAAAACCCCAAACTTCTTAGATGCCTGGTTTAGCCATATTAACTACTTCAGAACTGGGCTACAGTAGGGGTGCATATCTGAACTTGACTATCATTAGTACAATAATTTGAAAAATAAGAAACAGTTAAGTGGGGAGGTGAAAGGAAGATGGCAACACATGTGACAAAAAGACGACATGCTTGATGGTGCTGCTCAAAGCTTTTCAGCTGAACAGAGTGGAATGAATTAATTCCAAAAGAGAAAAACAACCCCATGAAAACTTGTGTGACCAGACAGAGAATTAATAGAATTAAAGTACCTAAACTATTTTGTCCACCCACAGCAAATATTTTGTCCTTTACAAACACCAGGCCATGATTCTTTCTGGCTTCAATCATTGGACACAGTTCAGTCCACCTGGGGAAAACAAATCAAACAAAAAAGGACAAATCACCATCTGGTTCATAGAAAGTAAGTATAACCTATCAGTAGGAAAATAAAATTTCAAAGAAAGCTGCTTAAGAAAAAACATCTTTCAAGTAGAACTACAAGTAACTGATTTCTTAATACTGATTCAGGGAAAATTCCTTACCAGAGTTTTTCCTGTAGTCATCTACACTTCAGTCATTTACAGAGCTAGCACACAAAGCCAACCTGACTTAAAACAACACTTACGTTTCTGTGGCTGGGTCATAAACTTCACAGGAATTCAGGACTCTTCCGGAAACATTGTTTCCCAGGCTGCCTCCGCATACATAAATGAGCCCATTCGCCTCCACCATCCCATGGCTGCAGCGCTGAGTCAGCATGCTGGGCTTTGTGTGCCAGCTCTCTGTTCTCGTGTCATAGCACTCAAATAAATACAGTGCAGAATTGCCTTAAAAAAAAATAGAAACCCACCAAAGTGGCATTAATCTTTGTGGTTGTCTTTCAAGAGAAGAGTCTAACAGCAATTATCAAATTGATGCTTTGTTTGTTAGTGGAAAAGGGAAAGCAGCTTTCCTGCCTCCAAAAGTAGAATTAACCAGCTTTAAATTTGGGATTACTCAGAAAGCACATGCTTGTAATTATTTTGATTGTTTTGTTCCAAAATATGCAAGTAAGTTTATGAAATTGATATTTGTGTTTAAAAACAATAAGAAAAAAGTTGTGTGCTTTTTTTCTTGGAGGGGAATAAATACTAAACAGAGCCATATATAAATTACCCATCCCATTGTAATCAGCTCATGCTACTCTTTCTGCTTGGAAATATATTGAACTTTCAGATGTGAAGATGAAACCAGCTTTGCAAACTCACACTACAGGTTCATGAGTCTTTTTCCTCTAAAAAATGTGACTTGTCCAATATCCAGAACACTTGTTGCCTTTGTAATTTGATAGTTTGTGCCATAACATACTCCTGGAATTATCAGCAACCGCAAAACAGCTATCTCTGTCCAATTTACTTTCTTCCTGAGGACTGGTAGATACTTATTGCCTAGAAGTGAAGGGTCTGTGTACTCTTCCCTCCAAAGCCAAGATAACTATTACTGAAATCAAAAGTAATTTTTCTAAAGATAGATGTGGGCTCAAAACTCAGGCTCAGGTAAGAGACCAAATCATAGCCAAGGCAGGGAAGGCTGAATACAACTTTCTCAGAACAGAACCACATCCTTCTTCCCTTTGTTTCAAAAGATATATTCACCTAGAACAGTTAAAAGTGCGTTTTCTTGTGTCTATTTTACTCTGGCTTTCCACTTCTAAAAATTAAGCATGTCACACTAGCAGCACTTACTACCAGGTGAGGATTTGAACCTTCAACAAGATGCTGTGTTTCCAGACCAAAAATTACTCCTATAAACACACTCCCCTATAATGTGTGCATTTGTTCACTTCTACCCTGACACTCAGTATCAGCAAAACCTGTATAGAGTGGGACATTTTTTTCTTTGATGTAAATAGACATTCTTATTGCTTTGAAGTTGTAGAAATTCCCATCCATGGAAAATCTAGCAGACCCGTCTTTTTTTTTTTGTTTGTTTTAAACAGATAGAAGCTTTCATTTTCAGTATAATGTTAAGTATTTTGCCTGCACTGAAACA